GGTTGTTAGGTTTGTATATTTCATTTTCATTGGGGTTAGGTAAGTTTAAATTTTATTTTTCTTTCAAGGTTGTTTTGTTTATTTTGGCCTGAGCTTTCCCTGAAGCCATTTAATCAGACTCCCAGGAAAAGAAACTTAAAATATGGCAGAAAATAAACACCTTAAATGCCATTTTGACTCCTCCTTCATTGTCTAGATTTATGTTAGTCCCTTTAAACTCCTAGACCAAGCCAGGGGACGTAACAGTTACCGTCATAAACTTGAGTAATCAATGATTATTTTACAGGCTAAATCAACTATACTTTGATAAAAAAGTTAAATATTTTTTCCCTTCTTCATTAGTGAGGCCTCCTTGATGGACGACGTCCTTAGCATTTGCCTAGTCTGCCTGTTCACAAATGCTTACACAAAAGGGGAAAAAAGAACACCATTTGCAATTTAAAATCTGTTTACCTTAAATTTTTACACTTTTGAAATTATAGATTTAATACAACAGTACCAATCAATGCATTAAAAAAAGGGGCCACTTTAAAAAAACACACACAAAAAGACATTTTATTCGTGAGCACCAGTAAGTCAGTACATCCTTTTCTTGTTCATAAGAAAGTCAAGTTTTGTTTGAACATTAAAAATTAGAAGCAAACAGGAGAAGAAAAGATAATAAAAAAGCATAAATCAAAACTACCACTCAGAACATTTGAACCAAAATGTGATTAAAACAATCCTCATTCAGTGTGCTTCATAAAAATCTGTCGCTACAAAAATAAACGGGTCAAAAACAAACATATATGTACACATTCCAAATACATACAGAACCATCTTGAATGTTAATTTGTGTGTTCYCTCACTACAGTATAAATTATTTCAGGTCTAAATCTAGTGCTGCAAAGCAGACGTGTTAGTGGTGAAGCTACTGAGACAAATGGCACAAAAAAGGACCAAATGAAGACGAGCTACAACTTTGCATTTTTTTTTAAGTGAAGTAAATAAAGCTGGTGGCTTCCTGCAGGGGGCGCCAAACTATTACTGAGCAACTAAAATCCAAGTWGGAGAAACTTGCTGCCTGTAAAAGCCTCAGGAACAGCGTGCAGTGCAGAAACACGTGGTGTTAAAATACTGTGTGATGTGGACMAAGTGTGGCAAGAGTAGGAGCTGCCGTCTTGCACCTGCATTCTGGTGGGAACTAAACAATAAAGGACAAATCATTTTTAAAAAGTGTGTGCATGTTGTTCTTTTGCGTTTTTATGTGCCTACACCTGTTCCTCGTGTATCTGTTCTTCACTTTCAACATGCCTGCATGTGTGTTAATTTGTGTGTTTGCGTGTGTCGCTGGGGTCCCCTCAGGTCCTCCTCTGGTGTGTGTTGCCCACGTACGTGTTCTCTACACACAGCACCACGTAATGGTTGGAGCAGGAGCGGGCGTGTTGTCCCAGCAGCCGGCCCGTCTGCAGCAGAGAGGCCTGACCCGTCACCGCCATGTCGGCCGTCCTCCACGCCTCGCAGTAGTTGGAGGTCAGCCGGATGCCCACCGTGCTGGAGCCGTGCCAGATCAGCTTCTCTGGCCTGCAGGTAGAGGTGCAGAAAACTTAGAGAACATGGTTGCGTACTGAGCTACACAAGCCTCATAACTTACCAGAATCTAAGTTATCAGCTACAATTCTAAAGCAGTGGGTGATGTGTGCTTCTTTACGTAAACCTTTAATTTACTAATACAATATAATATAACTGACTTATATAGTCCAAGCCAACAGCCAATTTATGTAAATACAGGGTTCCCACATCTTGGTCAACATCAAATTCAAGGACCTTTCAAGGACTTTCCAGTACCAATTTCCTCAAATTAAAGAACCACGCGCAACGGCAATTATCTACTGCTACTGCAGAATATTACCAATAAACAGGTTTAATATCATGTAAATTCAATTAAAAACTGAACAACATAGAAGTTGTTGGGTCAGAAACAATGACGTCAGTTTACTGTAATCCTGAGTTATCCGCCACAACTGTAAGTTTTTTTTTTAATTTAATTTTATCATTTTTTTTAAAGCTGATGAAAATCAGTCGTGTGAATAATTTCAATCCCCAAAAAACATTCAAGGACTTTCAAGGACAAGTGTAATTTCTGGCTGTTTTCACAAACTTTCCAGGGCCTTGAAATATATATTTTTTTCAAATTCACAAACTTTCAAGGATTTCAATGACACGTGGGAACCCTGTAAATATCTTTTGAAAAAGACATATAACAAATATCTATAACAAATTCTTCTTATAAATTATCTTTTCTAGATTATATTTTATGTAAACAAAAATCAACTTCAATTTAGAAAGACACATCATTAGCATTCATTTCTTATGCCTTACTTTTTTCATTTATTATTTCTTAGAGATATGTTTTTTCACTATCCAACAAATAAAGTAAGAAAAAAAGCAATAAAAATCCAACATTTGACTTCAAAATAAGAAAGGAATACATAAAAAGACAATTAAAGTTTATTCTCTGTTACTCTTTCCAGACCAGAATCAAAGATTAAAAAAATCGGAAAAACCTGAAATAAATCTGACTTAATTTTCTTGGCTTAAACGTTGGCCAGCTGTCATGAGAAGAATGCACTAAGTACACACTCACTGACTCACAAACAGACAAGCATCCATCTTCTGCTCGTTCTGAGTCGAGTCGCGGGGACAGCAGCTTGAGCAGGGAGGCCCAGACCTCTCTTTCCACAGCCACCTCTTCCAGCTCTTCTGGCAGGACTATAAGGTGGTCCCAGGCCAGCTGAGAGACCGTCTCTTAGGGCCTCCTCCCAGTCGGACATGCCTAAGGCAACTCTCTAGAGAGGCGTCCAGGAGGCATTCTTATCGGAAGCCCGAACCACCTCAGCTGGCTCCTCTCAATGAGGAGGAGCAGCGGATCTACTCTGAGTCTCTTCTAGATGACTGATCCTCTCATCCTGTCTCTAAGGGAGAGTCCAGCTACCCTGCGGTGATTTTGACCGCCTGTATCTGCGATCTTGTTCTTTCGGTCACTACCCAAGGTTCGTGACCATAGGTGAGGGTAGGAATGTAGACCGATCCATAAAAAGAGAGCTTCATCTAACAGCTCAGATCCCTTTTCACTACAACAGAAGGGGAAAGAGTTCACAGTACTGTGGAAGCCACATTAATTTTACGCTCCAATCTTCCCTCACTACTAAAACAAAACCCCAAGATACTTTAACTCAGAGGTGCCCAAAGTGTGGCCCGTGGGCCAAATTTGGCCCACCAAGCCATTTGATTTGGCCCACTAGCAGTTATCCTGGTTACTAGATTGTAATCTCCTGTTTTATGTAGAAATACTATATTTGCAATTAGTCTTTTTAAACATTGGTCCACCTATAGGTACAAGGAGCTGTAGTCAGATAGTCTTAACTTATGGTGCTCACTTTTTCTTTGAATTATGGTAAAATTAGACTTAAAATACAAGTAACTTCAAGAGACATTTATATTAGATTTAAGTTCATTTCTAGATTTGCACACCTTATAAAACCCCATATTCTCAAATTTTAAATTATGAAAAGTCCCATGAGCCTTTGCTGCCCGAGCAAACGTTGAATTTTCTCCATGTCCATGGGCTGAAACAAACAAAAAAATGTGGGCAAYCACACTGGCTGCTAGCTTGATCATAAAAAACACAACTTTCCTTGAAATATTTGCATTTTGTGTATTATATTATTGCATTTGGCCCACCACCCTCAGATTGATTTTAATTTTGGCCCTTTCAGAGAAAATGTTTGGGCACCCCTGCTTTAACTCCTCCACCGGAAGCAGAATCCCGCCCCAAGCCAGAGAGAGAAATCCTCTCTTTTCCTATCATGGACTCAGATTTAGAGGCACTGATTCTCATCCCAGCCGCTTCACACTTGGCTGCAAACCGCTCCAGTGAGAACTGAAGATCATGGCACGAATGACGACAACAGGACCACATCATCTGCAAACAACAATCCTGAGGCCACCGAACCAAGGTTCTCTCAGTCCCCCGGCTGCACAGAGAAATTCTGTCCATAAAAGCTATGAACAGAATCGGTGACAAYGGGCAGCCCTGATTGGAGTACAACTCTCACCCTGAAGGGGTGCGACTTACTGCCGACAACGCAAACCAAATGCTAGCACCAAAAACATAAATTCCTGTTCCTACTTACCATGCTGAGTCAGTCATCACGTTGCGTCCATCAAAGGTGTAGATGGCCACAGACGGATCAAACATGCCTCCATTCCCAGAGAAAATGGATGCCCAACTGCTAAACAACACTTCACCCTGAGTACAGTTGAGAGAAACATCATTTACAAGGGTATTGTGTCTTTAAGCCTGCAGAAATACACTGTACAAGACCAAGAAAAAGAAATCAATGGCAGAGCGAAATATGATCAATTGGACTGAAAACAGAACAGTTTCTCACCCTCAGATTAACCACAGGTTTGTCAGTGCGGTCTGCCTTCTTCACAATTGTAGCCAAATCCTGGAGGTGTGAGGACAGGAAGGCCCTGTAGGTGGAGGTAAGCCCCACTGAGYGCGCCTGCTGGTAGCACTGGAAGTCGGCCCCACGAATGCCACGCATGTCCCCTTTGAGAGGAGCATTTAGAGCTATCATACGGAGCTGAAAACAAGGAGAAGAGGGGTAAAGTCAGGGATGTCAGAGTTTGACAGCTGTTGAAYTAACCTGGCTGTGGTTAAAAAYAACTTCAGGTTGTGTGTGTGTATGTGGAATAGTGTACAGGTGTTTGTTACACTCACACCAGGTACAGCGCTGATGGTCTGAGGCAGAACATTGTAGCTGGGCTGATATCCTCTACTGCTATCCTGCAGCTCCTATTTAAGAAAAGATGTGAACAGTGATACATAAGAAAGAAGACAAACCATGTCCTGTTTGTTCTGTGTGTGTGTAAATGTGTGTGTGTGTGTGTGTGTGTGTGTGTGTGAGAGAGAGAGAGAGAGAGAGAGAAACAGACAGAGAGCGAGAGAGAGAATTTACCTGGCTGTGAACCTTTTGTGGTTCATTCAAGTTTTCAGGTTTGCTGAGGGCCTGGGATGCTTCTGAAAAGGTTGGTCCGTAATGAATCAACTCACCAAGCTGAAACACACACGCACACACACATACATGGTGTAACTACAGGGTGACTGATGTTTAACGAGGCAATGAGGTTGCCCTTGATTAGTGTGTGTACTTGTTTCTGCTTCAGAGTGAGGACTGTCATATGTTTTTAACCAACAAAATGAGGTCACCTTTGGGAAGTGAAGTGAGGACATTTTCCTGGTTCTCACTGCTTTTGCAGTTTTACTGCGCTCTACTAGTTGGGTTTAGAGCTATAATGTGAATTAAGTTTGGGTTAAGGTTAGGGTTCGGGGTACACCAGTAATTGTAAGAGCTGAAACCTTGAGGTTGCTGGTTCAAACCCAGGTTTTTTTAGTTGACTATTTTTACTATTTTTCACACCCATCTGGAGTATTATTGCAAGATTATCGTTTCAAATCAAATTARGAAACCAATCTAGAAAGCTGTTAGCCGAGTTAGCCTGGCCRTTGYCTTCCTACACAATTCTAATTGATTCTAATCTCCCTTCTCTGCTGCGTCTGGGCCTTCTACCCCTGACAAGGATTTCTCCGGTAGAATTTCAACCCGTCCAATCAGCGAACAGAAGGTTGTGAACATCCATCCATCCATCCATTTTCTGTACACGCTTCTTCCTTTTCAGGGTTGCGTGGGTCACTGGTGCCCATATCCAGCAGTCACAGTGCGAGGGGCGGGGTACACCCTGGACAGGTCGCAAGTCCATCACAGGGCAGATTGTGAACAATGATGTTGATTTTCTGCGCTGTTTTAGTCTGCCTGTAGTTTAGCAGTGGCGTTGGAGGAAGTGAATGAAGTCATTGGGTCTGTGTTGACAAGGCTTACAAATTAAATTTGTCTCACAAAGCCTGCAGCAGTCATTTACAACCATCTTGTTCAGCTCGGTCCTTCTCTCTTCCCAGTAGGGGATGGTTGTTTACAGCACTCGCAATTTCTGGTTAGCTTCTTAGCCTAGCTTCCTTCACGGTCAAGCTGGTGCACTACAAACATCACAGCCAAAATAAATGATAATAATGATAATAATGATAATAATAATAATAACAACAATAATAATAATAATAATAATAATAATAATAATAATAATAATAATAAACTTTATTTATATAGCACCTTCCTACAAAGCCTTGCATTGACCAAAGTGCTTGACAAGGTAAAATAAATACAATCAGGTCATAATAAATCAGTACAAGTTAAAAACACAATTACAATAAAAGAAAGTAAAAATAAAACAATATATATAAAATGCTAAAAAGTAAACATCAAATGCCCTTTTGAATAAGTAGGTCTTAAGTTCGGCTTTGAACAGGACCAGGTCAGAGAGGGCACGCAACTCATAAGGAAGACTATTCCACGCTACTGGGCCAGCAAAAGAAAAGGGCCGGTCCACTCATTTCTTGCTCTTAGAGCGAGGCACTTCGAGCAGATGTTGACTGGCAGACCGCAAAGCTCTGCTGGGTTGGTGGATTTTYAASARATCHGARATGTAGGGTGGTGCAAGGYCATTTAAGGCTTTAAAAACAAATAACARCAGCTTGAAYTGTATTCTAAACTGAACCGGGAGCCAGCGCAAAGAAGAAAGGACAGGAGAGATGTGTTCATATTTACGTGTGTTAGTTAAAAAAAGCGAGTGGCAGAGTTTTGTACAAGCTGTAAGCGAGAGATGGAAGACTGATTAATTCCTAAAATTCCAAAAATTGGGTAAAATCAGATCCAGTTCTTTTAAACTTCAATAGTCCACACCTCCAGCAAGTAATTGTTTCTCAACTGAGTCCAGACCCTCTGTAAGAAGCAAAATGTATATAATGTAATGCCAATTATAAAATTTCTGTGTTAATTATTGTAAAATGAATGTCCACCCCACTAGTATGCTTAAGAACGGCTACAGTAAAATAGTATTTGATGCATCAATTGTGACAAACCGGGATCTTGTGCCAGCCGTTGCGTGCTCTGATGTACAGCTCTCCTCCTCTCTCAAACACGTAAGCCAGTGTTCCCTCAGCAGCTCGGTGAGTCTCCTGGATCAGAGCTTGGACTGTCTCATAGATCAACACCTGATCACACATCATCACAACATCAGCGTCAGAGCTTCAGGGGAGGTTGGGGGATAGTTGTTTGTTTCCAGCAGTTACTGTTGGATCAGGCACCTTACCGTGTTGGCATGACCTGGAGATCCTGGTGGACCAGGAGGACCAGGAGGACCTGGGATACTGACACCTAATGACAGGATACACTCATTGTATTACAATTAAGACAACAAATCTGGTTCTAACAAAAAACACAAACTAATTATTAATTCATTCATTTCTTCCTCTTTCCAAAACACACACACACACCTGATCCATATGCAGATGATGGTCCTGGGGGCCCGGCAGGGCCAGGGGGTCCTCGAGGTCCAGGTCGTCCAAACCCAGGAGCTCCATTTTGACCAGGAGAACCTACTGGACCTGGTGGACCAACAACTGACTCTCCTTTTGGACCCTAAACACACAAACGATAAAGTTATTTTCAAATGTGTGGTTATTGTTTACACACATACAGTCCAATGTAGTTCAACACACACAACTTTTTTTGGACACCATCATGTAGTTGGGTCGAACTTGTTAAACTTGTTGTGGTGGGGATGTTCTAAACTTTAATATTTAGTCAACAACAACAACAACAACAACAACAAAAAATCCATACCTTGAGCTGGAATTTATAGGCTCTAGTCAAACTTACCACAAGTCCTGACCTTCCTGGAAGTCCTTGAGGACCAGGTGGACCAGAGTCTCCCTTTTCTCCTTTCTCACCTTTGAATCCCACGTCACCTTTAGCCCCCTTTAGATCCACCAACAAATAAATAAATAAAATAAAAACAGTTAAAATGCCCAAACAAACAGACAGAAACAACTCATTGCCTCCTGTACTCTATCACTCACCATAATCCCATCAGGTAACCTGGGGGCTGGGAAGGGGAAATCATCAAGTTAAAATCTCATCAGTAAAATCATTAGAGAGGCTCGAGGAAAGAAGGTGGTGTTGGATAAGCAGCGGTGAAAAAAAACGAGTCGTCATTAAAATCTTACCAGTTGTTCCTTTCTCACCAGGCATTCCTTCATCTCCTTTGTCACCTTTTAATCCAGTATCTGCTTGACTCAGTGCCTCCTACACACACACACACACACACACACACACACAC